CTCATTTTGTCTCTCATAGTTGAGGTATACCTATGATGAAAATTACAGGCCTCTCTCATCTTTTTAAGTGGGAGAACTTGCACAATTGGTGGCTGACTAAATACTTTTTTGCCCCACTGTATGTGGGGGCGTGTTCGAACGAGCCGTTTTAGGTAGATGTGGCTAACTCTTAACTTTTATAAAGAATATCTCTTTGGATTTGAGACTTTAGTCTTTGCAACTTTACAGATCTTCTTTATGCACCAAGAGCTTGTAACACTCTAAAGAGAAAGGAAAAAATGAAATCGCATCATATGACCCCTTTAAGTGGCACTTATTCTACCTATGAGATGTAACAGTAGTTTGCGACAATGTACCATTCTAAAACCGCCCTAAATTTGGATTCCTCAAAATGAAGTCTACAGAAGATATAAAAAAGATAGGAATACGGCCAACCACAATATCATGTTTATTTTAAATATAACTTCCCTAAAATAAGTGAATAAGTAGTTCAGTTCAGGTGGGAAAGTTACACACTTGTCTGGAGATTCTGGGAATGACAAGGATGTCTGGTTGTTCTCATCTGCAGATCTTTCAGCTTTCATTCACAATGCAGGTATTTTTTAATAGGCGATTACATGAAATGTAAACAAAATATTATTGATTGGAGGGCTAAGATCTTTTATAACTTAAGTAATTTACAGTATACCACGTTTATCGAATCTAGTTTACACGAGCATTCTTTAACGTCCTCTTGAATAATCCACCAGGGGGTGCTACGGAGTTTTCTAAACATTTTAACCTACTATTGAATTGAAACCAATGAACTGAGGTGCTTTTTTTTATTTCTATGACTGAAACAGAGAAATATTCACAACAACTCAACTAATAAGTCCATCAACAAACGACGATTAGCTTCAGTTACCATTTGGTAATTTTTTTTAGTTAAAGGGCAATGCTGTTTTCCAACATCTCAATGTGTGTTCATGCCACAGACCCTCAGAGAGCTATCATGGGCCTTTAATTGGAACAGATAATAGTCACATGACAAACTCACATGTAGCCTATACAAGTCTCATGATATCTGCACTTCACTTGGCATTCCCAGTATTTGTATTCGAGCAATATCCTCATTCTTGACATTGCTGAGGCTCTGATAAGGCAGTCACCTCCCGCACAATTCTCATTAGACACATCCAACAGGAATGTGCTCTTCAAGAATGACTTACATGTGTTTTATCACAGCTGTCCAAACAAAAAGCCTCCCAGACCCTCTCCTGTATTCACTAAATGCCTCTTTTGTCTCAGGTTATGGGGGTTTTAAAGGGATATATTTAGAAAGCGAGGACTGAGATGGTTGCATAGCTAGAAGATGATGTGTTGTTGCCATGAGGGGGTAAAACAACATCATTTCTTGTTATTATCAATGTTGAAAACAGTTGGGCTGCTTAATATTATTGTGGAAACCATGATCATTTTTTACAGGATACTTTGATAAAAAAAAGTTCAAAAGAACAGAATTTATTTGAAATAGGAATCTTTTGTAACTTACAGTGACTTTGCTGCCACTTTTGATCAAATTAATGCACCCTTGCTGAAATTATGTCTCTATATATTTGAGAGTGAACTGAATATAAAAAAAAAAGAAAAAAAAGAATGGGCCTTTTATCCTTTTACTTCCAGGACTGAGCCAAACTGAGTAGTAATTTGTGAAAATAGCTATATATATATATATATAATTTATTTTTTTTTATCAAAGATTATGACATAATTTTTTTTTTGCAAGAGCATGCAACAATAAAATGCTCACAATGAGCATGCTTTACGGAAGTAAATAGGGTCGATTTTGAAGCTGACTTCAAGCTATTAGCCCTATATGTTTTAAATGGCCTGTCAATGTTGCTGTAGCCCACAGCTGTTTCACTCCCACAGCAGACCTTAAAGTCTCTACTCGCCTGTCATGGTGTGTGCTACATTACCTCTCTGCTAGGGGAATGTAGCGCTTTATTTGGGCCAGGCGCGGCTGCTCCTCATGATTGAGCACTGCAAGGTGTGAGTGACCTCCTTCTCACAAGAGCAGGGAGGACGTAAATGAGGAACCCATGTACAGGGGTCTGTCCCACTTTCAGGCTTTTCTCAGATCTCCTTTTAGGATGGGCCGTCTTGGACTTTAGCCAGAGACTTCGAATCACAGCTGAGAGTTACTTTATAGTCTGCTTGGATAGATAAACAGCACTGACCTGATCTAACACTCATAAAGCATGTTAGTGTGGAACGTTAATCAGATCCGTAAGATCAGATAAGGTCTGTTTAGACTCTAGAAAATGATCCAAGATCAGATCTATAGTCTGATTTTTTTCTGTTTTGTTTTGTCAATAACAAGCTGTTTTCCTACTTTTTTATACAGTCGATACAATTTTATGACTTACCAGATGAATGGGTTTTTAATTCTGATGCGTAGCTTTAAAGGGATAGCTCACCCCATAAAACAATTCTGTCATAATTTACTCAACCACATGTCAGTTTAAATAGTGTTACGCCTTACATTAGTTTTCATATGTTTTTACGTTTTTTTAAACTTATTTTTTACTACTATTTTAAAAATGTGTTTAATATATATATATATTTTTTTGTTTGTTTGTTTTGTTTTTTTTGTTTTGTTATTTTAGTACATGAAAATAAACTAAATAAAAATGAGAAATTTTGTGAAAAATAAAATAAGTTTAAGTTTTTTAACGCTATGGCCAACTATAGCCAGGCTGGAAGACCAGCTAAAACCAACCAACCAGCTTAGGCTGATTTTAGCTGTTTTGTTTTTCAGCAGGGAGGGATAGTTTCAGTTTACGATAATAACTCGATCCAAACCAGTATGACTTTCATTATAAGTCTTCTTTTCCAAGTGAATGAATGAATGAATGTTTTGTCAGTTTGGAACAACATGAGGGGAGAACTATCCCTTTAAGTCCCTGTTGTCCATACTGAGTGCTTTTCTCACAGGGTGCTGTTAAGGGGACTCACAAACCTCCTCGCCAGAAAATCGATTACCTGCGTGTTAATTGCTGCTCTCTACGTGAAGTCTGCCCTCTGGCCATAAAAAGATCACCGTTCTCCCACACGTCCAACGGGCCATCTTCACTCGGGTCTTTTGAGAGAAATTGTCTTTAGTGAGGTCTCACTCTTAGGGAAAAATCAATCTGAAGGCCTCCCACGTAGTCGGACTGGTAATAGGAGGACAAAAGATGCACTTTAAGATAATTCCCACATATGTAAGGGCCTATTGAATGAAATAAAAAAGAGAAAATAATCACCGGCCATGTTGCTTAAAAAGTCAGTTAGAGTAGTTGGTCACAATTTATTTTAAAGTCCAATTCTGGCTATTAACAAACCATAAACTATGACTTTTGCCTCAATAAACACCTAATTTGCTGCTTACTAATAGTTTAGGTATCAGGTAGGATTAGAGATGTAGAATATGGTCATGCAGAATATGTGCTTTATAAGTACTAATAAACAGCCAATATGTTAATAATAGGCATGCTAATAAGTTAATAGTGAGAATTGGTATGGTCTCTATACTTAAGGGTTACCAGAAAAGTATTATAAAAGTAGTCTTACTTAATACCAATTTTTTTTAAGGTAGTTGTTAAGTTTAGGTATTGGGTAGGATTAGTGATGTAGAATATGCACAATATGTGCTTTAAACAGCCAATATGCTATTAGTGAGAATTGGTCCCTATACTATACTATACTATACTATACTATACTATATAAGTGTTACTGATTAGTTTTGGATAGGCCACATGGATTTCATACAGCTTTTATTCAGTTTGCTGTGTTAAACACTCTGTATGCTCTCTCGCTCCGGTTTTCATCATAAATCTAGCAAAAGTTTTTTAAATATATATATATATATATTTTCATTTTAATGTACATTTAAAACACAATACTTTGTGTTTTCTTCTGCTTCTGAGAGCCCCAAAACAGGGTCCAATACAGTGATACGATAAAAGCTAATGGGGTCTAATGTTGTTTAGGCCCCAACATCCCTAAAAAAAGACTGTCTTTCATGTTCTGCAGGGAAAAAAAGAGAAATGCATTTGTGTTCGGAATGACATGAGGGTGAGTAAATGAAGATTGAATGTTTATTTTTGGGGTGAACTGTCCCTTTAAGTAGTTTGGCTTTTCTTGGCCTGCAATGCAGTATGAATGACACAGCATCAAGGGACTTTATGTACGGTAGTCTCTTTAAAATCGAACATATGGAAGCTTTACGGCCAGATGGTGTTAATTACAATATTACTTGGCAGAAGTCATTGAGGTCTGCATTAAGAACAGCATTTTGAATAGAAATGGGCTACAGAAGAAATAAAAACAAATTTAGTGGGACTTTGGATCCCAAATGACACTTTGTGAAGAAAAAAAAACAACAACTTTTGGAGAGCGTGGAGTGTGTGAGTCAGTGTGTGTATGTGTGTGTGCTGTAAAGGGGAACTCCGATCTGTCCAGGCATGCCTCCAGCACTCTCTCTTTCCCATATAATGACTCATAGAAACGTGCTGTTTAAAGTAGGGGAATTCTGGCCTGGTCTGGCTTCCCAGCACATTGGGGGCTAATGTGAGACAATGGCTTATGGAAAGCTCATGCTAAAAAGCACTAGCCAACGAGAGCCTAAAACAGTCCCGCTGCAGTGTTTTTGGCGTATCTTACTGGAATGTCATTTGGCAATAATCTGTTTGTCAGTCTAAACGCAGAGCAGAAACAGATTCCAGCTTGGCATTTCAGGTTCTGTGTAACTGATGGAAAAACAGATTGCAGTGTTGAGAAATTTTCTAGGTTCTGGCTTTGCCAAACCCACTTAAACAGTTGCCGGGCAACTGTGCCGGTCCTGCCTGGAGAGAGTGCCAAGCTGTGCGTGGAGCCATGTGGGTCGTGTTATAGTCCTGGCATTGCTGTTCATCTGGCTTATCTCCTGCCACCAAGCATGAGAAGATCACAAGGTTCTGGACGTCTCCTGAGATCATGGCACTGATGCTTGGGTAATGACATACCAGCGTGTCTTCACATCTAAGTGACTTTTGAATCTCTTTTGACACATGTAATGACCCCAAGCTGTCTATTCAATCCGAAGTATTTAATCAGATTAATATGCATAGCAAATTCAGTCATGCTTACTAGACAGTGTGCCTGGAGCAACCTTATGCAGGTGCAGATGGAAACCGAAGAGGATTATGATAATTTGAGAGAGCAGTTCCATTCATCAAAATGGCATTTGCTCAAGTTGCACAGAGAAATCAGTTTCACACTTTAAAGAGCCCTCTAAAAACCTACTATAATACAATACTCGATTGGCCGAGGATTAACTATAGACCATGTTACCTAAAACCAGCCATGTTGGGAAAAAAACAAAAACAATTTGAAAGTCATTTTACAGACTACACTCAATGTAGAACTTAAAATACCACATTTGAAGCTCCCGGTAATTTGAACTGGCTCGATAACAGGGCTCGCAGTGGCCTATGTTTGTAACCCCAGAAAACAGTCATCACATGTGAATTTTAGGTGTGAGTTTGGTATGAGAAGAGCAAATGTTTGGAAGCGCTGAAAAAACTGCTGTGGCTTACAGTCTTGAAAGGAAGAATAATGTCATTGTGAGCAGATTGTTGACTAGATTTGAGCTGCTTCCTGAAAATCCAGGAAAATCTCAGAATGCATTCTTCCATGAAGGAAGCTGTGAAAAGAAAAAAATATATATTATTTTGCATGTTTTCTATAATATGGTCACATTCAATAAACTCCTAATTTGCTGCTTATTATAGTGAGTAAGGTAGTTGATAAATTTAGGTATTGGGTAGGATTAGGGATGTAGAATATGATCATGCAAAATGCTAAAAGCACTAATAAACAGCCATTATGTTAATAAGGCATGCTAATAAGCAACTAGTTAATAATGAGAATTGGTCCCTATACTGAAATGTTACCAAATATAACATTAGAACAACATGCTATGTAGAAATTACATACATGATGGGGCGAGGATAACTTTTTTTATTACACATGAAATATATTGCAGAGAAATTTGGGATTGAGACATGATGCAGGCCAGACTTTAACCTCTGTCCCATTGGGAAAGCTGCGGCTCTATGATGCTGCTGTAACCATGGCAGTTTTCATTCTTTGACACAATAGGACATTTCACTTAGTGGTGTTGTTGGTATTCCTCATGAATATGAGGAAATGAGTCAGACCTGATGTTCTCGTCATCTTTATTGCACGCTCCCACACCCAGCCCATCCTTCTGTCTGGCTCAAGTGCTCTTGCTGTATCTTCTGGTCAGCAGAGAACAGATGTTTTCCAGGACACCATCGAGTAAACATCTCTTCCTCTATGTCTCCTGTGCTGGCCATATGACAGGTTGAAGAGCGGATTGAGAGGAAGCCTCTGCCTTCATCATACTAGAGACGTCCAAGACATTTATCATGGATTTCAAAACCACATGACCGCAGTGTGCTAATGATGCTATTTTTGAGACGCTGGCAAAAATGTCTATTGCATATTAGCCATCTTAAAATTTGTTGTGAAGGTTTGGGCGTTTATGCATGTGTTACTGTGAGTGGGAGGAGGTCTCATTAAGCTCGCTTATAGCTATAGATGGGAGTTTTGGGTCAGGGTAATATGGGTATTTGTCTGACAGTGAAACCTGCAGACACAGGCTTAACTACATAAGTCCAATGTTAACATTGGCTCTAAGCTTTGCATTGCCTGAGTGTTTCATCATCATGATTTAAGGCCATTGTCTGTTACTGGCTAGGCTACGGATTTACCACACGAGTTCTTTGTCTGTGTGCAACCACCAGTTGTAACACATCCAGTTTTTTATATTGCTTGTAATACTATTTTAATGACATTTACAGCCTTTGAACAACATAAAAGTGTTTAATGTACAGCTATACATATAAAGGAACTATTTTAATTAGGCAACATCACACAAACGTGCGAGTTGTTCTGAGTAGCCTATATCAGCACTGAAGTGATTCCAACATGCAGCTGATATTAAGAAATAATCCAATCTGATTGGCCGAACATTCATCCGAATTTGTTATTATGATATTCTATTTTTTTTAAATATATTTTATAATATAGCTTTAAATTATATCACTTGTTAATAGGAGTTATAAAAACATCTTGTTTTCCCAATTGTCTTTGTGTTTCCACTTGTCCGTGAACGCCAGTTGATTTGAGTGAGTCATTTAATTTTTAGTGAATCGATTCGTTCAAACACACTGATTCATTCTGTTACGCAAGTATCGCTGAGCGTTGCTTCGAGACGATTCGCTTCGACCACGTTTTTTCTGCTGTTGACTTCGTTTGGAACTATTTTCACACAATAATACAATTACAGAAATAGTAACTGCTAATATCGTGTCTAAAATGTGAGTTACTTAATATTACCTTCTTGTTTATTTATTTGTTAAAAGCAATGTCACGTTTTATGTGAGAGGTGTGGGAGTCGACGTCTTGGCAGTCAACAGACTCGCTTGCCTTCACGAGAACTTCCTGTAAGTTTAACTCGATATATTAGAGTTGTGATTTATCTCTGTCACATATGGAAGCATGATTAGTTTTTGTCTTTTGTTGCTGATAGCGCTTCGATTTATACCGGAGCTCCGTGCCTCAGGCCTGACCTCTCAAAGCATCATGTCTCTATAAATCAGCCTGTTCTCCGTCTCTATAATACACACTAGATGAGGATGTAAATAATTAGAATATACTTCGTAATCCCCTCTAAAAGGGTGAAACTGAGTGTGAGGGTGTGTTGCGTTCTCTCTCATGCTTGTGCACGTCTCACCATTAGGACAGCATCAGCATGTCCTTTAGTGTGTACAAAAGGGTACAAACGCAGTGTTGTTATTATTAACTAAAACTATTAAAATAGTTTTTGTTGTTTAAAATGATGCTGAAAAAAAAAACATACATTAGATTAAAAACGTAAAACTTACACTTAAAATTAGAAATTAACCTTAAATTAAAAAATAGAAATGCTGCCTTGGCAAATAACTAAAGTAAAATAAACTTTAGTTAAAATGTTAAAAGTAAAAAAAAAAAGAAGGTAAAAATCACTAAAATGAAAAACTGAAATAAAATGAATGAAAACGAATTTAAATAAAACCCCTGAAAAAATAAATAACAGAAGCACACAACAGAATTACTAAAACTTAAACTAAAATAAAAATGAATGAATAAAAAAAGAAAAAAAGTTACTTCAAACTAGTAATAAATGTTATAATAGAAAATAAATAACTACTTGTAACTAGTACTAAAATAGCATTGTCCCAATGTCTTGAAAATCGGGGGATTTAAAATGTAACTTAAACCTGAAAATAAATGAAAAGTTTAGTATTTTGAAAAAACAATTACAATTTAATCATGAAATGTTATGACGTAAATAAGAAATATTTAAGATAGTATTTAATTCAGTATTGAGATCTAGATTCATTCTGAAGCAGATTAGATGGGCAGGTGTTTTCCCACTGAAGCTCAAGCTCTTTGGATCTTGTTGGAAAACATGATCATCAGGTTTTACACAAACTTGTGGAGTTCATGCAGCTTCAAGTTCTGCTGTCATTAAAGTTGGAATGAAATGAAAATTCTTCTGTTTTCTAAATGCATGTTTTTGATATTATTGTCAATGGTTATTTTTTTTCTTATTTGACCTTGTAAATTTTAATCAAAATGTAATTGATCTGGACTTAAACCCCGCCCTTTTCTTACAATTGACTGCAAGCTAACATTCAGCTGATCTGCCTCCCACCAATCAACAACCGATTGACAGAAACAAGTCCCTGCCCTACATTTTTTTCTCAATAGTCCATTCCATTTGGTCCATTCCATGTCCCAGAGGAAAAAATCTGCTGAGACTTCTGTTTCATTGTGACTTTAGTTTAAAGCAAAAGAGGACAAACCAGTTAACTTAGACATTTAGAAATTCATGTTCATTTTTGAACTTTTACTCAAATTGTTGTGCTGATACAGTAATATAATTTGTAATTAGAATTTCCACTAGAGGTCACAGACTTTTCAACCTCGCTTGGGACCATGTTTCACATTCACCTTGGAGAGAAGCAGTTTTTCAGCCGTTTCACTGGCGTCATTATACTCCTCGTGGCCTTTGTACTGCTTACCCAGATGCCTGTTCCTCTCTGTTTGAAATGTTTTTGGAGAGACCTGGCCCTCTCCCTATATGACTCCTCCATCCATAAAAACCTTTCCTCCAGAGCGCAGTCTCGCGGTCCTCCTTAAATCATCCCCGGAATGTATAGTCTTAACAGTGTATTAATGGTCTCTCTTTAAAGCAGGGCCAAGATGGCTTCATTAATGCATGGTGGCCTGCAGAAATGCTCCTCTCGGGCCTAATGCAGACAAGTGCTGCACAAAAGACAGGAAACGGTCTAAAGGAAAACGCCTGGATTTCAAGCATGGATATTCAATGCTGATAAGGTCCCGGTGCTAGAAGTCTAAACGCAACTGCTTGTTTTTTTTCTCTCATTCTGATCATTTAATACTGTCTTTTTTGAGTGCTACGCCTGTGAAACAGAGGTATTGATGATGTTATATGGCTGGTGTGCACGTGTGTCTGTGTTTGTGTTAAAGCAATAAGTCTCTTTGCATCTGTGTGTTATTGTGTATATGTGTTTGTCAGCTGTTGGTTCAGACTGGGCCCATTTCTCCTCCCTGATTGGAGAACAGAGTTGAAAAGTACAGCAGAGCCTCTCTGTGTTCCCGTGAGTAATGCAGGGCCGCTGATCCACCTCCCCTGCGCTTTCCCCTCGTCTCCCTGTGGCTTAGTGACTGACAAAGCGCCTCCAGCACTTGGCCTACTGTTCACCAAACACTATGTTTATAGTTATTCCAAATTGCTAAAATATTGCAAACATAATTTGCGATCATTTGAAGTGTTCCCATGCAATGTGATCATTTTTACAGGCTTTGGCTCAAGTATTTCAGAATGACTAGAGCAACATGTGAGATGCTATACATTGATATTACTGCCACATGCCTTGTTAAGGCAAAGTTACATAACTTTTTAGATGCACATCTAGGAAGTTATTTGGTAAATGCATTCCATTGTAGTTTATGTGCTGCATCTTTCCAAATCAAATTTATGCACCTTAGGTAGTATATACGATTTTTTATGTGCAAAATTTGCGTAGAATTTGATTGAGAACCTGACTGTTGTTTTACCACAAAATTAATCTTATAGTTCTGAAGTTTTCAAAATGGCATCGGGGAATCGGAGTGTGCACATAAAAAAAAATAAAAGATCAATTTCATTGTTGACATTATACTGTTTCATTCAGACAACCCTATTGACAACCCTTGTTTGTAAGATCTTGCATTATTCTAATAGTGGACAAATAAAACCCCTCTTAAGTAAATATTAACCAGATATTATTTACATTTTTTTAGCTTGAAATGCAGTGATTTTTACACCGTACTAATGGGTCTGTATACATGACAACAGATGCAAAAGTTTGGGGTCGGTAAGATTTTTTTTTTTTTTTAAAGAAATCTCTTTTGCTCACCAAGTCTATATTTGTTTAATTGAAAATCATGTAAAACAGTAACTTAACATTAAAACTATTACTATTTAAAATAACTGTTTTGTTTTTAAATATATATTATGAAATGTAATTTATTCCTGTGATACAAAGCTGAATTTTCAGCATCATTACTCCAGTCTTCAGTGTCACATGATCCTTCAGAAATCATTCTAATATGCTGATTTGCTGCTCAAGAAACATTTACTGACTCCACACTTTGAACTTTTTGTACTGTATAGCTTGGAAGAGAGTCTCTCACTGTGGTATCATGCTTGGGGGGTCTTTGACATCAAAAGGTTTAAAAACTCATGCCATGGATCAAAGCATGTGTTTCTGGACAGTCTCACATTTGAAATATGGTTCTGTGGATTAAAATGATGTCTCTTACAAATTCATCATGATATACAATTGGCATACGATAAAATGAACTGTCATCTTGACGATTTATGAAGAACACGGTGATTACAGTCACTGAGCCAGTTCCATCTGTAAAAAAGAAGACCGAATGAAAGATGCAGCGTCAAAGATTCACTTTTATTGAAATTTATGAGACTGATTCAAATCCAGTGTGAGTTTATACTGAAAGTCTATATCCTGACTGTTTGACTTGTTGCTTCTGGTGGAAATGAGAAAGCATGTGACTTGTTGTCCTCTTGTGGGTGTGAGGGCTGGAGTTAAAATGAATGCCAGAAATACTTCTATTATCTTTAACGTTACTGACACACAAGCGAGAGAGCAATAGGAACCATTTCTGAGTGGAAATTAACATTTGGTATGTGTTTTATATGATCCAGTACATGAATCCACAGGATGCGTGACCTTTAAAGTGCATTCTGTGTCTCAGTGTGTGTGTGAACAACTTGTATCTGGTCTGGATAATCTATCTGGTTTTCCTGTTTCTTACCCCAGCACAGGTTCAGGAGGCCTGAAGGATGACATACCCCGAGATGAAGTGTGCAGAAGACGGACCTTCTTTCTGTATCCCATTAACATCACCTCATAAAATGCTCCTACACGACATGAGCAAACTGACACCCATGTGTTAGCTGGCTCAGCTTTCTGCCGGTATGGCACATTTGGTTTTCATTTAGCCCTTGGCTCGCACGTCGGTGATGGATTGTCAGAAAACGACGTGGTTGTGGGTGCAGGGCATGGCAGAAGAATGTACCCGGCCCTTTATCAAGCCATTTGTGCATTTCTATGTGTTGTCTTGCCCTGGCAGAAGCAGCCGCTCATCTGTGTCTTATATTAGCGTCTGGAAACTCACACCGTAGCAGTGCGTCCGTCACATATTTAGAAAATTACTCTGCTAAGGAACTTTAAATAGAAGTAAACTGACTGCATAACAGCTGATGTATTCATTAGGCTTTATTTCGCATCTATTACAAAACAGACCCGGTCTTAAAATTGCAAATTAACTAAGTGCTAATTAAGGTCATCACAATTTTGGCATCTGACAGCACATGTCCACTTAGAATGCTGATGTTAACTTCCATTAGAGAGTCATGGGTTGAGTTTCACACAAGCATCGGGCTCAGGATAATGTGTGTGTGGGTCTCCTCCGTGGCCTCTGTCATAAACACTGACTTGTTAATCCTGTGGGTCAAATCGCTGGGCTGTTGGAGAGGGGTGAGAGATGCTGAGAATACCTGGCTATATTAAGCCACCCTCTTCATCAAAAACATCCTGTCTCTATTAAAGGGATAGTTCAGCCCGAAAAAAAAAAATTCTGTCATCATTTGCTCTCCCTCATGTCGTTTTAAACCTATATGACTTACTTCTGTGGAGCATGATTTTTTTTTCTGTACAATGAATGTAAGTGGGGTCCAGTGTTGTTTTGGACCTCAATTACTTTAATTATATGGATCAAAGGAGTTCAAACATTCTCCAAAATATGTTCTTTTGTGATCTGAAGAAGACAGAAAATCATACAGGGTTGGAAGGACATGAAGCTGAGTAAATGATGACAGAATTTTCATTTTTAGGTGAAAATGTTAGGACTTTTAAATATCTTTCATTAAGAACATTAACTAACATTACTGCATTAAATAATGTGTAGAAGATAATTAGGTACAACTGAGTTAATAGTTAGAAAGTAGTAAGTAATAGTCTGTGTCTCTGTATGTTTTGTCCACTGATGTCCTGGACTATCTTCTTGGGACCCAAGGCTGAAAACATCTTCACTAAAGGAGATATAAGGATATACATTTAAAGACTAATATGTGCAACATTTAATAAAAATAAGGTAACACTTTAGTATAGGGACCAATTCTCATTATTAACTAGTTGCTTATTAGCATGCCTATTATTAACATATTAACTGTTTATTAGTAATTATAAAGCACATATTCTGCATGACCACATTCTACATCTCTAATCCTACCTGATGATACCTAAACTATTAATAAGAAGCTAATTAAGAGTTTATTGAGGAAAATGTCATAGTTAATGGTTTGTTAATAGCGAGAATTGGACCTTTAAAATAAAGTGACCGCTTTTATTTGACAAAGACACATTATTGATCAAATGTGACAGTAAAGACATTCATAATGTTACAAAAGTTTCTATTTCAAAGAAACGTTCTTTTGAACTTTCTAGTCATCAAAGAATCCTCAAAAAATGTATTAAAGTTTCCACAATTGATAATATAAAATGTTTCTTGAGCAGCAAATCAGCATATTAGAATGATTTCTGAAGGATCATGTGACACTGAAGACTGGAGTAATGACTTCTGAAAAAAAAAGTTAATAAATGACATATTTATTTGAGAGGTATATATGGTATTGACACAGACACACACAGACATATATATATATATATATATATATACTGTATATATATACAGTGGGTACGGAAAGTATTCAGACCCCCTTAAATTTTTCACTCTTTGTTATATTGCAGCCATTTGCTAAAATCATTTAAGTTAATTTTTTTTCCTCTAAAAATGGCTGTCCACCAACGTTTACCATCCAACCTGATAGAACTGGAGAGGATCTGCAAGGAGGAATGGCGGAGGATCCCCAAATCCAGGTGTGAAAGACTTGTTGCATCTTTCCCAAAAAGACTCATGGCTGTATTAGATCAAATGGGTGCTTCTACTAAATACTGAGCATTTTTCAGTTTTTCTTTTTTAATAAATCTGCAAAGATGTCAACAATTCTGTGTTTTTCTGTCAATATGGGGTGCTGTGTGTACATTAATGAGGAAAAAAAATTAACTTAAATGATTTTAGCAAATGGCTGCAATATAACAAAGAGTGAAAAATTTAAGGGGGTCTGAATACTTTCCGTACCCACTGTATATTTGAGAGGTCATAAAGTTGTACACAATAAAAAGGCAGTTGTCCTTTCTCTGCACCTGTGTGCTGTAGATGTGCTGTGCAGTCTGGAACTCTCATTTAGCATCATCAATTTCTACCAGTCTAGCTGGCCTGGCCCACAATGGGCTAAATTTGGGCACTGATGCCCCTCTTTATCTTCCTGCAAGTTACAAAGATGTCAACTCCCCTGATGTACTCATTCAAAGAGCATTCAGCACAAGTGGGTCAAGGCAGTGGTTAATTCACTAATCCAGCCTGTGCAAGCAAAAGTGTGTTTTGTTTCTTAGGGTTATTTAAGGTTGAATCCTGCCTTTCAGTTTGATAATTGGTTACAGTCTACGACCACATTTGCCAAAAATTAATCAACACTTTCACTAGACAGCTCTGGTGGAGCAAGAACCCATTGTTTTTAACTTTAGGATTGATAACTAATATTCACATGTTTTTTTTAATCAAATGCCATAAATTACATTATTTGTTCTTTTAAAATGTTTATTATTGAGGTCATGCTGAAGTTAAGTGTAGCATTATCATTATTTTGTTTGGTCTTTGTTTATATAAACTATCTAAAGTTTGAAAATGTTATTTACTACAGATGTGTAAATAAAACACGTTTGTGGCATGCTAATATACACAGTGATCGCAAAATTAATGCTTTTGTGAACCAAAATTTAATTAAATTCAATTCAATTCAAGTTTATTTGTATAGCGCTTTTTACGATACAAATCATTGCAAAGCAACTTTACAGAAAATTAAGTTTCTACAATATTTAGTGGTAGCTTATCAGTGGTGACTGTCAGCCAATGTACATATGGCAGAAATGTACGGAAAATTCAATTTAAGACGTAATAAAACAGACGATGAACACTATTAACAGCAATTATTATATGATGCAATCAAACTTATAGCAAAATGTGGTAGTTCTGTATGTTGTTTCAGGGTTGGCATCATCTCTTCTCAGGTGTAAATCTGCAAATTCTTTTAGGCAATCTGTATACGGCCCTGGTGGTCTATACACAGTAGCCAGAGCAAGAGATACGATAGATTTCTTTTGCATATCTGACAGTGTGACATTAAGCAGAAGTATTTCGAATGAGTTAAACCTGTATCCTGTTTTCTGAGTAACGTTGTTTCAAAGGCTTTTAAAACAGTCTAGCTCATTATGTTCATGATAATACTCAGTAAGTAGTCACCGTAAGTAAACACTCCAATTTCTTGTGGCCCGTGGCTCACAAATGCATACAAATGGACTAACTAAGAGCTCTTGCTGTACATGCTCAAGAGGCATTTTATATTTATATTTTTAGAAAAAAATACTGTTTACAACGAGAATAGGTTCATTAAATATGATGTTAAGGAAGGGTAAACGGCCCCTTTATTTTGCTCCTCTTGTTTTTAAGCTGTCAGTTGTGTACACTGAAATGCTGGGTGAACTACATGGAACAGTAATTCTGTGCCAAATGTGGAAGAGCATGGTTTTGGCAAGAAAACTTGATTTATACTTGGTTCAAGCATTGTGGACATGATAAACATAGTGATCCCTGTATTTTTAAAATGTCTTAGCAAGTTAAACCTTTCTGGCACTGATTCAAGCTGTGAAAATGCACATTGTTTGGCATTTAGTGCAAGCATCATTCATTGCAATGGAGTAAACATTTTTGTTAAATATAAATATATATTTTCAGTTTTTGTTTAACACAAATTAAAACACATACAATAAAATAATGCAAAGAAGTAAAAGTTCAAACCCAAACAGACACTTCTCAGCAGACAGAACAACATTCTTAGTCTCATCATAGAGTTTGATAATAAAACATCTGCCTCAGATTAAATAAATGTAATGCACCTGTCTGTTAAAATTAGCTGATTCTGAAAAAAAAATATATGCATGCAACTGTCTCAGCAAATCCAAGGGATATCAGCAAGCAAAAACATTTATTACAAATTGTTGTACCATTTAGCATTTATTTTGGGATGACACCAGAAAAGCAGCTGAAATTATGCCCCTCCTTTTTATGTAATTATAATTAACATTTACTTGCAGAGAATTTAGCAAAGTGGCATTAAAAAGTGCTTTATCTTGAACTATGGCACTGTTGTGGTCAAAAAAGGACCAAGATATTTGACTTACAGGCATTAACTTTCATAAATCTTTTAATCACTATTTCACAGGAAACCTATGGCTTGCTGACTCTCTGAATTTTTTACATGCAGGTATCTTCTTTCTTACTGACCTCTTTTAGGGTTGTATATAAACTATCAAGTTTATTTGTTAAAATTACAAATGACTTGCTTCTTGCGTCAGACCAAGGCTGTATCTCATTGCTAGTTTTACTTGATCTTAGTGCTGCGTTCGACACTATAGATCATGACATACTCATAGATCGATTACAAAACTATACAGGTATTCAAGGGCAGGCTTTTTTTGTCAAGCCAACTTTTCATTTTAATAATTTTTAATAACCTGTATAATTTTCCATTTTATTTGAATAGTGGTTTTCCCTAATATACATGTATATAGAAATTGTTAATATACATGTATGAAATTATGGTAATGTACAATTATGTTAATTACATGTAATGTAAGTTAAATTATTGGTATATAAAATGACTGAAATTACATCTTTTAAGAAAAGAATCTGTCTTATAAAATTGACAAAAGGAATTTATATTTTGCCAGTCCTGTCTGGGATATTAAAAGGCTTTTGGCTGCCCATTTGAATTGGCAATAGACAGACTTTACCACACAGTCGGTTCTTACTCTGCTTATGACTGCTCATATTGCATAAATTCATCAGTTTCCCGTTTATAAACAAGAAGTCCAATTTGTGCATAAATTCAACTGCACTCTATGCCACAATCATTTTCAAAACTTCCTAAACTGATTTGATTTCATCTTGACGTTTTTATCTGACCCGTCGTCTATATGTTTGATCGGCCAGACACTCTTTGGAAAGCTTCTCTATTTGCTTGCCAAACAGAAAAAAACTTGAAAGTAGAGTCCAGGTATCACAGGACATATTCATGCCAGATTTACAGACTGTGTCCACATAAAGCAAATGTAATTTGAATAAAAGATGTTTTGTCTGTTTCTTTAAAAGTCTATTTTTTTCCCCTGACAGACATGCAGAGAAAATTGTTTGCCTCAAACTAAAAATAAATTTGGTGGTAGAGCACACCACAAGGCTGAAGACCGCTGGCTGGGTACGTCTGAACGTGTCATTTGTATCGTGTTCACTATAGGACTATATATCGTATATATAATGTCTGTTCCTGCACATCACTTCATTTTCTGTGATATCTTTCTACTGCTGCTTTCTCTTTTTCTATCTCAGCACTGTTGCCTCTCTCATTTTTCACTTTAACAAAAGCAGATTTCTTCACCTCTACTCATCTTGTTTCTTATATTTGATAGGATCTTTCGTTTCTCCTGGCAAATCTTTCACTGTTCGCATAAAGTTTTGGCAGAGGTCTAACAGACCACAGGGCATGTTTGCGAATCATTTTAATCACGAGGTGTATGATTTATTCTGGCATTCCCTGTCCTTATTCCATCCAGCAGAGGCTTAGTAGAGACTGTGTATCTTGGTTACGTTTGCTTAGCATTAATAATGCTTCTAGGAATATGTATGTATACAGCCGCACACATGAGCACACTATATAAATATATATAGAGCCAACAATTTGACAGTTACACCCGGGTGAAACTACTACAGTATGTAAATGCAAAATTGAAAAGAAGTACTTTGATTGTGGTTAGAGCTTTTATGTAGTTTACTCAGTTGGAGCTGGATGGTGCCTACAGGCCTGAGGCCTCTTCCTGCTGCGGAGAAGAAAACATCATTTTATGTCTGTAGCAGGCACCAGAAACAACACTTTGAACAACTGAGAGGCTGAAGTTCTGTGTTCTGTTAAAATACTGGCTTCATTTTAAGTCAGGATCGTCATGAACCTATTTTTGCAGTCCTGGCTCACTCGGTGCTCTAGGCGACATAAGACATGACCAAAGACCAAAACTATCGGCTTTTGTATTGGCAATAGCAAGTTCCTGTACTTGCTTTGCTGCAGCAGCAATAATCTACAACAACAGCAATAACTAACAGCAGCAGCATAGGAGATCTATTCCGCCGAGACCAAATACATTAACATTGTCATATTCATTACCATGCTAAAAGTTGTCATGATAGAACTAAACTAATGCAATAAATCTGGCCATGAACGGATGTGAACAAACTGTAAAGCATTAATATCTAACGGTTTCCAGATAAACAAATTGCTCATTGTGACTGTGAGTCAGTGTGGCTTAGGAGGTGTGTCTGTGCTGAGTCACCAGATCTGTTGTAGTACTCTTCTCCACCCAGTCACAGACCACTGACTCTTCACTCCTCAACAACACACAGCTGCTGAATCACACACACACGCTATTCATGAGCATTTGGGATCGCTCAACAAGTTTTCACTCGTCGTCATTATGTGCGTTTGTTTGTAAAAAGTGAGAGTGTGATTCATATATGTGTGTGTGAAATCTGGGTTTGGGTGCATTATAAAACCACAAGCATGTCATCACTTTCTATGAAGACATACTCCTGTGAGCTTGATCAATATCACATACTACAGTCACAAAGGTAATGTGTGATACCACATCAGCTTTAATCCAAACGTGTGGATGGCTTCCATTTCTTTCAAATTAAACAATGACACAACCGAAATACTACATCTCTGTGATGTTCAGGTGAAGACTTCACATGTATGTAACCTGGGTGTGATTTTTGACTTGTCATTTTGATTTAAATCCCATATTAAGCACCTCATCAAGTTTTCTCATCTGCATCACCAAACCTTTATTTGTCCTTCACTTATGCTTCAAAGTTACCGAAATTGTTAAGCATACTTTTACGACCTTGCACCTAGATTACTGTAACTCTCTTCTAACCTCTTACTCATTAAACTGTTTGAATAGCTCATTTGTCCTGAACTCTGCAGCCCAGAATGCTTCCATTGTCCTCCATGGGCAGTATAGTAACTTCAGCATCACTGCCCTAAAATTCTGGGATACCCTCCCCAGTATTTCTCCAAAATGTCAAAACTCAGTTCTGTTTGCACACTGTTATTCAAATGTTTGTGATCTTTGATTTCCTCTAGAGCTGTACAATTTCTTTTTAAATACCAATTAGTTTTTGTATTAGTTGTTTCTTTTTCTTTTGCTCACAGCGCTAATGGAGCGAGACACGGCATAACAGTCTGCCTGTGTACATAAACAAACAATTAAACAAATGAGTTGCTGTGAACTTATGCTATGTAGTGATATGAACAGACAATATACTGACTTTAAAGCCAATTTTTGTAATGTCATTTAGTGCTTTACTTGTGCAAATTTATTGAATTATCTATTGTTTTTTCTTTCTCATCAAATATTGGAAGCAGGTAATTAATCAGCATATTGTGCAATTAATTTGCTTAACATTTTACATTAATTGACAGACATAAAGCCAGTCAGTTGAATGAGCAAAATGTTATACTGTCATTCAAAAGTTTGTGGTCGGGAAGATGTTTTGATAGATGTTTTTGAAAGACGTCTCTCATGCTCACCAAGGCTGTATTTATTTGATAAAATATACAGTAAAACAACAATATTGGGAAATATAATTACTTTTTTTTTTTATTTGAATATTTTAAAATGTATTCCTGTGATGGCAAAGCTGATTTTTCAGCAGCCATCAGTCTTTGGTGTCACATGATCCTTCAGAAAACAATTTACTGTAATATGCTCATGTGCAGCTCAAGAAACAGTTATTATTATCAATGATAAAAAAACAGTTGTGCTGCTTAATGTTTCTGAAATATTGTTTTTAAGATTCTTTGATAAATAGAAAGTTCAAAAGAACAACATTTTTAAATAGAAATCTTCTGTAACATTATAAATGTCTTCGTCACTTTTTATCAAGCTATTGTTTCCTTGCTGAAAAAAAGTATTCATTTAATAAAAAAAAAAAAAGTATTGAGCCCAAACTCTTGAACAGTAGAGTATTTAATATATATTGTACACAGTATATAATATATATTTCAATATGTAAAGTGTCTGAAATATTGCTTTAATATCTTTCATTGTCTTTAATAGCCATGCCTTTCTCTTTGGCTTATTTTTGCACAGGGACGTCCTGGCCGGAGGGAAACGCACCATTTCCAGCGTGCTGTGATAGTAGCGAAGTGCAAATTGATCTCAAAGAGCAGCTCGAGATTCCACAGGCTTACAGCCTTATGCACCCTCTCCGAGCTGAGTCACTTTTTCTCTCAGCCTCTGTGCAGGCTATTACCTGCCCCTCACCAAAATGCGGGACGATACAGACCGTTTATTGAGTTTCACTGTGTGATTTCCATGTGACATTATAATAAGGGAGAGAATCTGCTGTGATCATGAAGCAGGCTCAGGTTTTGCTCTGACTGGCCAAGCTCAAGCTAAGAACGCCTACAGGGTAATACAATCATGTCCAGAAGAACCGGACGACGTACTAGAAAGTTTTGGGACTGATATTGATATTTGACAACACAACTTTGTCTCAGAGGTCTCCTGACAAACTCTGAAAAGACATAACCTCAAGCAGGGGAACTTCATTCAGTGTTCACAAGGCTGACATTGACTCGTGGACGTGACAAAAAACAGTCCGTTTCAGAGCAGAATGAAGTCACGTCTTTGAAAAGAGCTGGTTTGAAAGAGCAAACATACATTGCATCAATGAAAGGAAAGCGTGTATTTACTCAACCGCTTATTAACATAAATCACATATAGTGTGTTTCGCATTAAGTTACACAAGATCTTTTGACAATTCTTTTGACAAGACCACAAATCTAAATAGCTAAATTAGGAACCTGCATTTGAAAAGGAGAGTCTGAAAAGCATTTCACAATAAGGCTTTCTTATTCTCCGTATGCGTTCTGTTATATTAAGAGCGTGCATGTGCATTAAGCCCTGCTCGGTCATGTCTGTCCACGCAGGGACGCTGAAAATTGCAAGAGCAATAAGGATTTTTAGGGGCATTATGACTGGGTTAATAAAACACAGCTGCCCCTAAAAGTCCCTCATTTTTCTTGCTGCCATTTTTCTTGCTACCTATGGGTCCTCTTCCTAGACTCACATTTCAACAGCATGGAGCCGGCTTTCAATCCGGCGGCTGGGTGTTGGTGAGAGCTAGACACCCTTTCCCTCACCTGGGGAAGCGCAGACATGTGGCTGCTGTATCGCTTCCTTGCTTCTGACGGCTGGAAACGAGCGAGACCCTGTTTGTCAGCTGTCCAACAAGTGAAAAGTTTAAATTAAGAAGAGAGTGAGGGGAATTTTAGCCTCCCTCCTCCCCTCAAGCGTGCATGCCAGGGGTTTATAAATTGCCCTTATAAAAAAAAGGGTTTGCTTTGGGATTTAAGTGGGTAGCTGAGAGAGGTGAATGAGTTCAGTGCATTTCGAAGCGGGATTCTTTCCTATTCGGATTGGTATTTCTGTGTTTATACATGCACTACAAACATGGCCATTACACAGCGTGAGGTTCCTTTCAATATTACCATCCTGAGCTACAGAAATGTTTGTGAAATGATAGGAAATACTAAATTCTAATTCCAGCTTGATAGGCCTAAGTGTGCAAGTTCAACAAATCACACTAAAATAGATAACAATGTGCTCGGTCAGAAACGAGCCGCAATTTAAAATATATGATCTTTAATAAGTTCTAAACTTCTAACAGTGGGATATTGCATAGAGAATCCTTGATGGAACGCCTTGAGCAAACTACTTTGGATAATTATTTTACTAAGTTATGTCAAATACTGTATTGCAATTAGTATTCCATTACTTCTAAGCAAAACTTACAAGCAAAACTGAGTTTCTTCTCATTCTAATGTTTCCCACCTACAGAACAGCTAAATATTTGTTATTATCATTTATGTGCGTATTATAATATATCCATTCAGACAGAAATAAGTGAGGATGATTACATGAGCCAGAAACTGGGACTTTGTAGGCCAGTTGAGAGTAAATTTAACTACTCACCTTGCCCGCAAAGACCCAACCTCTAACACATTAATGTCTTTAACCCCAAATATACAACATTTATTATTATACATTCATTGTTGTGTTTATTTTATAATGAATAACCCTAAAACTACGCAATTTCACTAAATTGTACTTTAATATACTTTATTTGGCCTGTTTCATTCCTACAGAGAACATATTAACATCAAGCCAAATAACGTAAATCAAAGATTACCCTAAAAACATCTAAATAAATACTTCAGCAGGAATGTAGAAGCACATATTGATGTATTTTCTTATCAACAACTAGCAGCAATAGATTAATTTACCTCTGCTTGACTTCCATTGTTTGAGAGCTGTATCAACCCAGCTTGTATTTGATTTACGTCCACTGTTTTGATTGTAGAAAAGTTTGTCGATCTTACGGTCCAATTCTGGTTCCGATAGCTGTCACAGGAATGGAATAAAGATGCAGTCAGTCTTCGCTAAAGCCCGCGTGTAAATTTCTTCTGAGAAGATATGCGAGTTTATGTTTTCTCGGATGCGCCCAAGTGTATTCAAGTTCACTCGTCGGGAGCGTAGTCATGACTGTTACCGCCGCCGTCTTAAAGGATTTACCTGGACTCTGCACACACTCGCGTGCCATGAGACAGCCGCAGCAGCAGCAGCGCGCGGAGCTCATCTCTCGCGCAGTCCTCACGCAGGCCCTCCCCAAAATGGCATTCTAGGTAGCACATGCATTTATGAATGTCACACTCACCTACTTGTCTTTGGTTTAGGGCACAGCAGCTAGAAAGTTTATTGCTGGGGTGCGCATTTATGTCTTACCTAGGTGGATGCTGCACACTGGTGGTGGATGAGGAGATACCCCCTGACAATGTAAAGCGCTTTGAGTGCCTAGAAAAGCGCTATATAAATGTAATGAATTATTATTATTATTAAATGCGAAATGTCTGCGTGCTGTCGGCAGTCATCCAGTTAATTTCTTTAATGTGGCAAACATATTAAAGTCCCACAGAAAAACAGCAGTTGTGTTGTTTGATTCGAACCTTTACGGTTTTATGAGTCATCCAGTTAATTTCTTTAATGTGGCAAACATTAAAGTCCCACAGAAAAACAGCAGTTGTGTTGTTTGATTCGAACCTTTACGGTTTTATAATGTTGAGTCGTAGAATATTCACTGGCAAGGCTTATTAGCTGCACACTAATGGCCGTTGTATAGCCTAGATATGATTTAATTTGGTGCGCCAGCGTCATCTTGTGGATACATGCGTAATACACACCGATTTACATTCTTATATTCTTATATTTATATTTAAACTTTCCCAATTAAATATTTTGCTCTCCTCAATAAAACAATACTAAAATAACAAAACTTTTCATTCATTCATTCATTCACTTTTTAACGCCAATGCCAGCATCAGGGCTATTTTCATGGGTATCTGAGAATAAATTACACAAGGTATACAATTAACAAAAAGTTATAAAAGATATTTCAAATCTACACAAAAATACGTTCAGGTGACACATTTTAAAATAAATCAGTTAAACACACCTCTGAATAAAACCGTTGTCTATTTACATTAAAAACAGTAGGCCTACAATCTAATAAAATATGCTTTACAGTCATTTTTGTTTGGCAAGTAAGGCATGATGGTGGTTATTCATCTTTTAATAAATATCAATGTGTAAGTCTTGTATGACCTAAAAGACACCTTGTAAAAACAACTTCATACCTAGATTTAAAATGAGTAAAAAAATATTTTTCTTACACTATTTATTTCATATAGCTTATTATATTATATTATAGCATATTATATAAGAGTTTATCACAGATATGACCTGGAACCCAGCAGAAGAAAATACTGAAGTTTCTCTTGTGTAAACAGCCTGCTTTGGCTAAAATCTTTATAATTATGGGATGATCAATCTTTACATTTTCTAGTGCTTGAAGGCAGGATTTTGCATGAAAATTAAAAGATTTTGTTCTTGTCCATTTTCTATATTTTCCAAAGACAGTAGCAGAGCACGAGCTTCAGCTGAGGATAGAACTCTTTCTTGAGATTCGTACACCACGACATTGGTCTCCAGTTATTGCTGCTGCCGATACTCGATTATCTGCTTTGGATCCATCTGTGAATACAGGGCTATGATGAGGAAAACTGCTGCTTAACTCCAAAAATGTCTGCCGATATTCATGAGGGTGTGTTGTTTTCTAAAAATGTTACTAAAATAACACAAGTGTTTGTACATTATACAGAGTATTCAGTCCGGCATTTCAAACTTACACAGAGTGCATGTATAGACAGACTGCAGTGTTCAGGTTATACCATAGTTATATTAAATTGGATTAAAGTCTGTGCTCTGGCTAGGTCCCTGATGCCAAAAAGCTTTCTGCTTTCTCCTGATAAAATGAAACCTGCTCGTGTAATCATTACAAGAAAGAACAGTATTTGTGTGCGCTTTCGTTTGTTTGTTTATTTAAAGAGCTTTTCTGCAAAATCATGCTTCTTCCATTGATCGAGGCACGGACGGGGTTCGAACCCGCGCTCTTCGGTTTACGAGACCGACGCCTTACCACTTGGCCACCGCGCCCAATGCCCAACTTGGGGTAAATTACGTAATTTGGTGTAATGTCGGCTGAAAGAACATCTCGATTTAACAATTGTTTTATAATTTTTCCGTTTATTAAATCTCTCCCGTGAGTCCATGCCTCTTTTTTTAAACATATTATAGAAGCGATCAAACGCGCCAAGTCTTTTTATTCCTAAATTGGACACATCCGGTAGACGTTAGCCTAGAGGTTTCCCGGATGTGTAGCAATTCAAATCACAACAAATCAAATTAAAAGTGCAACAAATGCATCTCCCACATGACACAGTAAACGTTCGCAAAATGCGTGTCATCACTGGTACTTTTTAAAGTACAGATCCAGCGAGCAAGAATATTTCCCGAGTCTTTGAATCTGTATTCTGTATGTATTGTATGCGTCTCCCATTATTTTATAATAACCGTGAGCACGAGGCACCAATAATACTGTTATCTCTCCATAGTATTTCACTAATAGCCCGAAACATACATCGGTCTGTTTGAACTACGCGTTAAATAGTCATCAAAGGTAGACGGACATGATGTAATAAATATTTGTTGTAGATTCCCTACATATTCTTGGTTTTCATAACTTGTTACCACACAATCAAGTGATGGGAGTCTCCAGTGAAATAAACATCTGTAACAGTTAACACTTTTTATGGGGAAGAAAATATAATTATATTATGTAATATAATGATAATATGTTTGGTTTCGATAATGGTTTGGCATTTACTATCAAATTTCAAAAGATAGTCTATGTCAGTCCACACAATTGAGTTAAACGTTTGATCAGACTAAAAAGGAAAGTCGTGAACTGTAATGAGAAGCACAGCGTTTCAAAATCGTTTTCTAAAGCAACGCATGATCGTTCCACTTGTTTGATTCAGTCACGAATTAATGGACGTTTATTAAAGTGAACTAAATGATTACAAAAACAGTTAGGTAATATTTAAAAAAAATAAATATAACGATAGGCCCTAAACAAACTACTAAGTTTATTTTGTCTAATTTAAAATAATGACAATCAGCAAACAAAACGTCTGATAACTTTTTCAAAAACAACTTAAATAATATGTCTACAGATAAATATGTAATACAGCTAGGGGCTCGGCATTTATTTCACACACCCTGAGCTTTTTCTCGCCACAGTGTCTATTTAAAAAAACAAAAAAACGAATGTCCCGCGAAAATATAATAAGCGAAATGGAAGCTCTCGGCGCACTCTCTACCAAACTTGAATGCAATGTCTAAACTCGAGGTTTTATCAGCTGTGTGGAATACATTCAAGACGGAGGGCGGGTAATATTCACAGCACTTTCGACTTGAGGCTGTTTCTCATAGGGCA